GGCCCAGTCAGCCAGAACACCTCCATCCTCCATCGTGTCCCTGTGCCCCTTCCCAGGCAGCCCCCACCTCAGGGGCATCTGCTTGCTTTAAAATTCAGCAGTGGGATTAGCAGCTAGGGTTTCTTTTTATTTACGAGGTTTTATTTTAGAGCAATTTTAGTTTGTAGAACATTGAGCAAATAGTACAGAGGATCCACCCCACCCCCACTTCAGTTCCCAGGATTGTTGACATCTTGCATTAGTATGTGCATTTTTGGCACTTGATAAACCAATTTCATAGATTAGTACTAACTATAGTTTACGTTATGGTTCACTCCTTGTGTTGTACATTCGACGAGTTTGGAAAAGTGTAAGATGTCCTGTATTCACCATTATTGTCATACGAGTAGTGTCACTGCCCTAAAAACCTTTGCTCCATCCATTCGCCCCTCCTGTTCCCTAACCTCTGGCAACCACTGATCTTTTTACTGTCTCCATAGTTTTGCATTTTCTGTTGGAATGCAGTGTGTAGCCTTTTCACATTAGCGTCCTTCACTTTTAGAAATATGCATTTGTTTCCTCCCTATCTTTTCATGACTGCATGGGTATTTTTATCACTGAATTATATCTCATTGTATGGATGAACCACAGTTTAAATATCCATTCACTTTTTTTTTTTGGTTGTACCACTTTAACAGTATTTTGGTGGCATTAAATACATTCACAATGTTGTGAAACCATCACCACTATCCATTTCTAGAACTTTTTTATCAAACAGAAACTCTATCCCCAATAAACAGTAACGCCCCTTTCTTCCATGCCCCAGCTCCTGATGTTACTTTCTCTTTCTAGAATTTGCCTGTTCTGGATATATCATATCCATGGAGTCACACAATGTTTGCCCTTCTGTGTCTGACTTATTTAAACTTAGCATAATGTTTTCAGTGTCCACCCATAGCATGCGTCAGCATCTCCTTCCTTCTTAAGGCTGAATTATACAGACCACGTTCTGTTTACTCACTCATCCATCAGTTGCTTCACCTTTTGGCTATTGTGAATAACGCTACTCTGAACATTGATGTTTGTTCAAGTATCTGTTTGAGTTTTCTGCTTTTAATTCTTTTTTTCCTTTTTATTTATTTGTTGATTTTAGAGAGAGGAAGGGAGAGGGAAAGAGAGAAACATCAGTTGGTTGTTCCACTTATTTATGTAATCATTGGTTGACACTTGTATGTGCCTGATTAGGGATCAGACTGCAACCTTGGTGTATCGAGTTGGCACTCTAACCAACTGAGCTACCTGGCCAGGGCTAAATTCTTTTTAGTATATACCTAGAAGTGGAATTGCTCAATTATATGACAACTCTATGTTTAGCTTTTTGAGGAACTATCATACTCTTTTTCCACAGTGGCTGCACCATTTTACATGCCCACCAGCAATGTATGAGAATTCCAATTTTTACATCTTCATTCTCCATGTATATATATCAAACTGAATTCAGCAGCACATTAAAGGAGAATGTAAGGATAATTCACCCTAATAAGTATGAACTGATATTTCATTGTGGTTTGATTTGCATTTCCCTAATGACTAATGATATGAGCAACTTTTCATGTGCTTAGTAGCCACTTGTATATCTTTGGAGAAATTCCTATTCAAATACTATGCCCATTTTTTAATTGTATTGTTTGTGTTTTTTGTTGTTGGGTTTTAGAAGTTCTTTATATGTTCTGAATATTATTCCCTTATTAGATAAATTCTTCACAGACATTTTCTCTCATTCTGTGGGTTATCTTTTTCACTCTCTGTTTTTTCCACTCAAAATACTATTTATTTCTGGACTCTTTATTCTAGTCCATTGGTCTATATGTCTGTCTTTATGCCACCACCACATTGTTTTGACTCTTGTAGCTTTTAAGTATATTTTGAAATTAAGAAGTGTGAGTCCTCCAACTTTGTTGTTTTTCAGGATTGTTTTTGCTATGAGGGTTCCTTGATATATGAATTCTAGGATGCTTTGTCTGTTTCCGGAAAAATTATCATTGGGATTTAGATTGGGATTATATTGAATTTGCAGATCACTTTGGGTAGTATCGTCATCTTCACAATATTAAGTCTTCCAATCTATGAACATGGGATATCTTTTCATTTATTTGTGTCTTATTTCATTTCATTCAGCAATTCTTTTTGTAGTTTTCAGTGTACCACTCTTTCACCTCATTGGTTAAACTTACTCCTTAGTATTTTATTCTTTTTGATGCTACTATAAATGGAATTGTGTTTTTTTATTTTTATTTTCCACTGTTAGTGTATAAAAAAGCAAATGGTTTTGTGTGTGTTGATTTTGTATCTTGCAACTTTGCTGTGAATATATTAGTTCTAACAGGTGTCTTTTTTAAAAAAAAACATTGGGGTTTTCTATATATAAGATCATGTCATCTGCAAACAGAGATAATTTTACTTCTTCCTTTCCAAATGAATGCCTTCCCCCCACCCTTTTCTTGCCTAATTGCTCTGATGAGGACTTCTAGTACTATGTTGAATAAAAAATAGTGAGAGTGGGTATCCTTGTCTTATTTCTTATCTTAGAGGAAAAGCTTTAGTCTTTCACTATTGAATATGATGTTTGCTGTAGACTTTTCCCATATGACCTTCATTATGTTGAGAAACTTCTTCTATTTCTAATGTATTGGTTTTTTTAAATCAAGAAAGTGTATTAAATTTTGTCAAATTGTTTTTTGCATCACTTGAGGTGATCTTTTGTTTTTCTTCTATTAATCTGATCTATTATAGTAATGTTTTTCATATGTTGAACCATCCTTGCATTCTTGGAATAAATTCTTTTTTTCCCCCCAAATATATGTATTGTTATTGATTTCAGAGAGGATGAGAGAGGGAGAGAGATATAGAAACATCAGTGATGAGAGAGAATCATTGATTGGCTGCCCTCTGCACGCCCCCCTACTTGGGATGGAGCCCACAACCTAGGCACATTGCCTGACCAGGAATCAAATCATGACCTTCTGGTTCATAGGTTGACGCTCAACCACCGAGCCATGCCGCCAGGCCTGGAATAAATTCTTTTAATATGCTGCTGAATTCAATTTGCTAGTATTTTGTTGTGGATTTTACATCAGTATTCATAAGCAATATTGGTCTATAGCTTTCTTGTAGTGTCTTTGTCTGGCTTTGGTATCAAAGCAATGTTGGACTCAAAGAGTGAGTTATGGAGTGTTCCCTCCTCTCCAGTTGTTTGGAAGAGCTTGAGAGGGATTGGTGGTAGTTCTTCAAATGTTGGTAGAATTCACCAGTGAAGCTGTCTGGTCCTGGGCTTTTACTTGCTGGAACAATTTTGATTACTGATTTAGTCTATTACTAGTTATACATCTATTCAGATTTTCTATTTCTTCATGAGTCAGCTTTGGTAGTTTGTGTGCTTTTAGGAATTTGTTCATTTCATCTAGGTTGTCCAATTTGTTGCCATTCAAATGTTTATAGTGCTCTCTTATAAGCCTCCCCCCGCCGCCCCTGTAAAATTGGTAGTAATATCCCAACTTTAAATTCTGATATTAGTAATTTGAGTCTTTTTTGTTGTTGTTGTTAGTTAGGCTAAAGGTTTTGTTGATTTTTTCAATGAACCAACTTATGGTGTTGTTGAATTTTTTACTGTTTTTTTCTCTATTTCATTTACCCGCACTCTAATATTTTTTTTAAATATGTTTTTATTGATTTCAGAGAGAGGAAGGGAGAGGGAGAGAGAGAGAGAAACATCACGAGAGAGAATCATTGATTGGCTACCTCCTGCACACCCCCTACTGGGGATCGATTCTGAAACCAGGCATGCACCCTGACTGGAATCGAACTGTGACCTCCTGGTTCATAGGTCGATGCTCAACCAACTGAGCCACACCAGCTGGCTGCACTCCAATCTTTATTATTTCCTTCCTCCTGCCTCTTTGGGTTTAGTTTGCTCTTTTTCTAGTTCCTTGAAGCATTAGGTTATTGAGTTAAGATATTTCTTCTATAAATTCCCCTCTCAGCACTGCTTTCACTGCATCCCTTAAGTTTTGATATGCTGTGGGGTTTTTTCATTTGTTTCAAGGTATTTTCTATTTTCCCTTGTGACTTCTTTGATCTGTTGGTTATTTAATTTTCAATACTTGTGAATTTTTCAGTGTTCCTTCTACTGTTGATTTCTAGCTTTATTCCATGTGATCAGAAAAGATCCTTTGTATAATTTCAATATTTTTAAATCAATTAAGACTTGTTTTGTGGCCAAACTTGTTTTGACGCCTACCTTGGAGAATGTTCCATGTGCACTGAGGAGAATGTATATTGTTACTGTGTGGTGGAGTGCTGTTTATATATGTGAGACATTTCTGCCCTGGACGGTTTGCTCAGGGTCATGGGTTCGGTCAGGGGCACGCACTGCGGTTGCAGGTTCTCCAGCCCCGGAGGCAACCAATCCATGTGTCTCTCTCATGTCTATGTTTCTCCCCCCCCCCCCTCCTCCCTGCCTTCCACTCTCCCTAGAAATCAGTGGGAAAAATATCCCGCACCCTGGGCAGGCACACGGTCTGCTGCAGACAGGCTGAGGGTGATGCTGTCTTGGGTGATGATTAAAAAAAGAGAAATTCCCAGGGTTTCAGGAGCTGTGTGCCAGGAAGCGGGACAAAGACCAAATATATATTTCTTATAAATCATAACATCACAGATAAATTTTGCCAGTCTCTGCCTTTGATTGGACAATTTAATTTATTTAGATGTAAAGCAATTACTGATAGAAATAACTTGTTTCTGCCTTTGCTATTTCTTTTCTGTATGTCTTGTAGCTTTTTTGTCCTTCAGTTCTTCCACTACTGCCTTCTTTTGTGTTTAGTTGTTTTTTTGCAGTAACAATATAGTGTGGCAATTTTCTTTGTGGTTACCATGAGATCATACATACTCTCCTAAACTTATAACTATCTAATTTGAATTGATACCAACTTAACTCCAATCACATACAAAAACTCTTCTCCTATACAGCTCTGCCCACCCCCCCTGACCCTGTGTCCACCGGGAAACGGGACAAGCTGGCACAGGTAGGTAAGTAAGGCGCTGCGTCTGTTCAGGCAGCTGGTGCTCAGGGACTCAGCATCCTCCCTTGGAGACCCTGTGCCCCCACCTGCCAGCCTTTACCCCACCCTTCCTCTTTAAAGGCTTGTCATTGTAAAGAATGTTCTTAATGGGAAGAAGGTGCAGCGACGATGTTGTAATGGTGATTCTGAGAGAAAGACAAAAGAAGCCTTCCCTAGCACCCGGGCAGGCACACGGTCTGCTGCAGACAGGCTGAGGGCGATGCTGTCTTCCTGCGACTCACGGTCCTGCGGCCCTGCCACCACAGCCCCCGAGCCTGCGCTCTGGCCCCGGGACATGGTGCCTGTGGAAGCCGTGGTCGGGCCTTGCCCAGGCTGCCTGTGCCCTTCCCAGGCCTGGGTATCTCCCGCGGGCTTTGTGGGGGCCGTGAACAGCAGACTCTTAGCCCCTGAGTTTATTTCATAGAAGAGAGGGGCAGAGGCTCTGTCCCGCACTCTGGACAGTTCTCACTGCACCCACCACCCCATCTTCAGGCCAAGGGGTCGGCAGGACATGGAGGGCTCTGGGCTGTGCGTGAGGCCCATGCAGGCTGGGGGCCAGCAGCTGTCCCTGTGCTTACAGCGGTGTGCCTCCCTGGCCTGGGGCCCGCTGACTGAGGCCCCCCTGCTCTCCTCTGCCTGTTTCAGAGCAGACCTACTGTGACCGGCTGGTGCAGGACACGCCTTTCCTGCTGAGCCCTGGGCACCTGAGCGAGCAGCAGGTGGACAGGATCATCCTGCAGCTGAACCGCTACTGCCCCCAGATCCTCAGCAACAAGGATGCGGAAAAGGTGAGGGGCGGGCCTGGGTAGGGGTGGTGAGGAGAGCTCGGAAGTGAAGACCTGTCTCTTTGGGGTGACCTTGGACCCGGGGCTGGAAGTATCACGGGAGACATGTGACAACATGCCACAATGTGACATACCTGGGCGCGGGGAGCGGGGAAGCAGGGGTGCTGGCTAGGCCCCACCCTGGCATCACAGGGCTCTTCCGAAAGGTCATAATGGGCAAATATTTTAGATGTCATCTGGCTCAGCTGTTTGTGGACACTGGGTAAGAGTGGGTGACCTTGCCTGCTATCCCTGCTTCTCTGGCTCCCCCATGGGGCTGAGGTGGGTGCCAGGGATCAGCCAGGGCTTTGGGGTATAGAGCCTGCTGCCCCGCGGGGTGACTGGGCTGCAGCTCCCTGCCTTGGCACAGGGAGGGGTGGGTCCGGGCAGATCGGACGCGCAGGGACTGCTACGGGCTGCTTTCTCAAGTCATGGAAGTAGCACAGGAAGTGAAAAAGGAGGAGCCCAAATTTGTATTGCACTGTTGAAATTAAAGGTCTAATACACATTCATTGTAAAAACCATTTGAACAGTTTCCCATGTTTGTACAGGAAAAAGGACACTCGGGCCTGCACTTACCTCCCCATTGTGTCCATGTGGAATGGTATTTCGCCACTAGGTGGCAGCACCAAGCTACGGCCTCCAGATCCTGGAGGTCAATGCCACGTGCCCTGTCCACTGACCTTTAGAACTACACATTTCTCCATCAGACACATCAAAGGCGCCAGTTCTTTCCTCCTTACCCCTTTTAAATACTTGCATCACATTCCTGTAGACCCGTGGTCGGCAAACTGCGGCTCGCGAACCACATGCGGCTCTTTGGCCCCTTGAGTGTGGCTCTTCCTAAGCCTGAGGAGTACCCTAATTAAGTTAATAACAATGTACCTACCTATATAGTTTAAGTTTAAAAAATTTGGCTCTCAAAAGAAATTTCAGTCGTTGTACTGTTGATATTTGGCTCTGCCGACCACTGCTAGACGATAAACCACTAGAAGTTGTCATGCTATCACCTCAGCGATTCCCTCAACAGCCCTGCAGGGGGCGCTCAGCACTCCCTTTTCACCACCAGCAAACAGAGTCTTCAGTTTGCTGAAGTCACAAACAGGCCGCTGGGTTCCCACAGGGATAATGTCCCTGCCGCCTTCCTTGGTGACTGGTTTCCATGTCACGGGAGTGCGAGGACTAGCCGTGCTGTGACCCAGCACAGTCTTGGCACCGTGAGGCCGTGGTTCAGTCGCTCTCTGCAGGGGTGTTCGGAGCCCCTGGTCGGAGGCACCTCCCACGAGAGAGCTGGAGCCAGCGGGGTGGAGGGGCGGGCGCGGCCGCTTAGGGCCTGACTGTCCTTTGTGTGCCTCATGCCCCAGTTCCGGAACCCCAGGGCATCCCTGCGCCTCCGGCTCTGTGACCTGCTGGGCCACCTGCAGCGGAGCGGCGAGCGGGACTGCCAGGAGTTCTACCGCGCCCTCTACATCCACGCCCAGCCCCTGCACAGCCGCCTGCCCAGCAGGCACACCGGGCGTAAGTGCACGGCCAGCGCCAGGCCTCAGTGTCCACCTGCTCGGCCAGAGGCCTCCCGGCCACCGCATCTCCTCTCTGTGGTCCCAGAGCGGAGGGAGGGTGTCTGGCCACACAGATATCTCTGTCTTCCTGTCTGTCTCTTTCTTTTGTGCCAGTTTTTACACAAAAGGTAGCATCTGCCTCTTCTACCTGTAACCCAGTGCATTGTGGGAACCCTCCCCTTGCTGACCACACCGCCCGGTTGGGCCAGCCTGAGTGAACCGGCCCGTGGTGGGTGCTGAGCTGTCCCTTTGACCTGCCGGGCCCCGGACAGGGAAGCACAGGCCCGACGGCGTCTGCACCAGGCCCAGGAGGAGGGGCTACTCTCCCCGACTCTTAGAAGTCAGAGGCCCCCAGGGATGGGGTGGCTCACCCAGGCCACTCAGCCGTGACGCCGGGCTGGCGTCTGCCCCACGCCGGGCCTGCAGG